ACCTGGATCTAAAAAGCCCTCCTTCCACATAAAGATATTTAAAACAAAATAGAACACCCAATTATGAAACACTGTTGTTATTCCTGGTAAATCAGAAAATTTTATTTCTGCTTTGGAGTTGCGTTTTCCTTTCAAGCTGTATGAGAAAATGGAAAACACAGACTACTGGGATCCCAGGGGAACAAAGGGACTGTTAGTGCTCTTAACAAGGTTGACAGTACAGGTTTTTTCATAATAAGCACCATATTGTGAATTATTAAGATTAGGAAGTGGGACTTCTCTGGTTGCGCAGTGGTTAAGAATACACCTGCTAACGCAGGGAACATGGGTTTGATCTATGGTCCAGGAAGATCCCACATGCCGCGGACCAACTAAGCCCGTGTGCCACAGCTACTGAGCCTGCGCTCTAGAGCCCGTGGGCCACAACTACTGAAGCCCACGCGCCTAGAGCCCGTGCTCCGCAACAAGAGAAACCACTGCAGTGAGAAGCCCGCACACCACATCAAAGAATAGCCCCCGCTCGCTGCAACTAGAGAAAGCCCACGCCCAGCAATGAAGACCCAAAGCAGCCAAAAATAAAGAAAGAAAGAAAAGAAAATAGAAAAAAAAAAAAAAGTAGGAAGCAATTATAAATAACTGCTGCTGTAACTCATGTTGTAACTCAGGGGTTCCAAAGGAAATCAGCCAAAAAGTAAGTCCACATACATTCTTTTCAACAACCAAAAAGGTTCAAATGGCATAGACATTATTTCTTTACTTCTGTATTAATACATGATCGACTATGTTTCTAATAATTATGGGGCCAGTTTCACAGATGTTTTCTTAAGCAATTCTGTACCCCTCCAAAGGTCAGAGGTAAAACATTAGGAGAACAAAAAGAAACAGGGCAGGTTTAAAACAGTAATTCTTAGGAATATATAAAAATCTCAGAGATGAATGACATTTAAAATTTTCTGTTGATATTCATAGAATGCTTTAATGAATGAGTTACTATTCTAAACATACCAATTAGGAGTATAAATTACTTATCAAGGCATTTGTAAAATGTCCTCTTAATGAATGAAACATTTCACAATTCATTGCCCAGTTTGTATTTCAAGAAATGAATCTTATATCCCTTACCACTATGGCAACCACCTTGTCCCAGTTTACCCATGATTTTCTAGGTTTTAGTACTGAAAGTCTAGCTTCTCAGGAAACCCTTAGTCCCATGTCCTGAAAACCCCCTCAACTCCGGGCAAACCTATAGGGTTGGTCACCCTACTACTACTGATTTCACAGGCAAACTGCTGATACTGAAAAAGTGTTTTCTCCAATATACTGCCCAGACTGACTAGCATTTACATCATTTCTCCTACTAATAGCAGCAAAAACCATATGGTGAAGGTGGATTGACCCTGACACCAACATCCCACACAGGACTGTATCCTGGAAGGTTTGCCTTTCCTCTCCACCCATATTAAGTCTAGCTTTACAGATTTTGTAAAGTGATGGTATGAAATAAATGGACCTCTGTGCCCAGGTCTAAGACAAAATCTCTTAGGTTACGAAGATAGCAAGAGTACCAAGTAAAATTTAAAAGCTCCGGAAGTCTGAAAGACTTGGTTCCAAATCCCAGCTTCCAAATTTACAAGCTGTGTGAGGTGCACAGGACTTAACCTTAGCCACTTTGAGCCTTAGTTGTTGTTTTAACATGAAACTAAAAAGACACAATGAAATAACATTTGGTGTGTACCACACCTGGAGCAAAGCACGTAATCAATACTGCTAATCCCTTCCCCTTCCATTTATAACTGATATAAGAAGCTCTCAATACTACAGAGTTGGGCTTCTGTACCTCTGTGGTAAATTGGGAGCTTCAAGTACTGTAAAAAGAATAGCTAGCTATTTGATAGATAGCTAGGTGACCTTAATTGGGTACTCACTTCTGCTGTTAAACAAGGTGAACTTGCTGAAAATTTTAACTCTGGGTGAAAAAGGGATACCTTCCTTCATTAGATTACCCTTACCTGGGGGTGTGGAAACACCATATAAATATAAATAATACCTTTTAAAGCTTATCAATAAACATCCCTTACTACTATGTGAAACCAAGTTACCTGACACTTTAAGGAAGGGAGAGACCACCGACGCATTTGTTTTAAACATGTTTCTCTTCTCAAAGCTCTCAGGAGCACAAGCCTACTTGGTGACTACCCTGGTTAGGAATATCCAATGGGAAGTGGCCTTCCTTCATGCTGGGAAATAAGGAATCAGAGACACCAGACTTCTTGTCTCAGCTTTTTGAATTTACAAAATATGATTATTTTGAATTGTTTCCATGGAAGTCTCATTTTATGAATGCTCATTATTTTTCAAGATTTCAACAGTCTATCTCACATCATGAAATTTCAAGCAATGAGTATATTAAAGTTTTGCACTTCTAACTGAATATTTTACTCTACAACTTCTTGCTAATGATACTCTTTAAACATCAGTTCTCAAGTTAAGTCATTTTCTACCATGGTATATTCCAGCCACCAGATGTTGAGGAAACTCTCCAGCAAAGAAACAAAGGGGAGAAAAGTATGACCTTCTAAAGTCCTCTGCAGGTACTGAGTCAGCATACTTTAATCACTGATCTTTCCCCAAAGAGATATATTCTCCCCTCAAAGTAAAGATAGGGCTCCAAGATAAGGGTTCACCCCAAAGTTTTTCAGCTGAGCCAAGACAGGAACAGAAGGCTCCCTGTCAGGTCTGTTCTTTGTCTAAAGTCCCACACTTGCATCTATAATCAGGATTCACTGCCAAGGTCTCCAATAAACACCAGTCACAAAAGTGAGGTCAAAAAGACGCACTTTTTAAAACCGTGCTTTCTACATGTTTAAAAAGTACACATAAACTTTTTGTTTTGCTTTTTAAAGAAAACCATATAAATGTTCTAAATAGCAAAGTAGTTGAAGAACATGGGACTGTTTTAAGTAGCAACACAAAAATTTTCCCAAGTTTTTAAGAAAATGGAGAGTCAACTCGATAATCATGAAGTCATATTGTAAGCACGTTGATATCACAAACATTCCAGTATCAAAAACTGGTAAGGTAATAGCAAAGCTAAAAATTTACATCTGGAACCTACATTTACTGTACACGAGAGTAAGTTATGTGGCATTAAACATGCCATTTTCAGAACATTTACACCGAAGTGACAGATCAGCTGGGAGCCTAAACAGCACCTGAGCATGTTTCACAGTGTAAATTGCTCCGTGGATCAATTTCAAAGCACAGCCCTCAGGCTCACCCATGCAAGCTGGGGTCTGTGCAGAACTAATCACTTTACATAATAAGAGCCACTTCAGAGAACCCAAGTCAGAGACAGTGATGGCCTTGTGCATGTTCTTAGGCACAGCCAGGCACCTAAAACCAGCCACATATAACTTAAACTAGAGTAGATTTCTTAACTGAGGCTTTAGGAAAGCCTTTAGGATAGGCTTAAGGAAATCCAACTGAACCCTTTCAGATTACATGCAAAATTGTATTACATATATATTTTTCTGGGGAGTGAGGCCACAGGTTATCAAATCCTCATAGGTGAGCTAAAAGAAAAAAACGTAAGAAACATGGCACTGGGATCAATCACCATTCTTCATGAGGCGGGGGAATCTAAAAACACTAAAACTGCAAGAAAATTACCCACCTTCAATTTTACAGCCAGAATCCTCCCCATTTTCATATATACATAATAATATGTAAATTATTTAATATATAACTGTAAATTATACTACATCTACAATTTTTATAAATCATTTGGATACAAACACAATCTGACAGTTCAAAGGTAGGTATTCTGGTATAGGCTCTGTCACCTACCCGCACAACTGCATGCACACAATTTGCCAATCTGTAGAAGGGGGAATTATAACACTGCAAGAGCGACTGTAAATTTCTGAGAAGTGCCACTGTAAGGAAGGGAGGAAAAAATATACAAGGTGAAACTATCTGACTAGTTGCTGCCAATAAGTCAACACACTAAATAACAAGTTATTGTTTGAAAAGCTAAAGCAGTTAAGATCTCAGAAAACCCTGACCCTTGAGTGTTTACTGAAAGCAAGATGTACATGGTCACCTTCAGGCAATATAAGGAAACTGGCGGGGAGAAACTCAAACTGGAATCTGCACTCAATTGTACACTTTCTACTTTATACTCTTATGTGTCCTTCATTCATACCAGACTCTGTGCCTCTGATATTAAAGGGTCTAAAATATGCCAAAGTACTAAAACAACTCTAAAAGCTCTGGGATTCGTAATATTGGTAATTATAAGTAGTAATACTTCGTATGTATAGCTCTTGGCTTTCACATATATTATTTCCTTCTGAGTTACTCATACTAATTGTTTCTACTAGTGAAAATCAGCTTACTCAGCTCCTGCATCTTATTTCCAGGGGCAAGATTTATCATGGGATGATAAGAGTGTTTACCATTTTCCCTGTAAGGCCCCTCTTGTTAGTGTTAGGCATATTTCTTGCCTTTCCTGTCCAGCATTCATTTTTCTCTTCATTCATTACCTATTTATTGTGGGTCTACGAAGAGGGGGTAGGACTCCATCTGTAACTCTCTGGGGCCTTAAGAAGCCAGACAATAGTGTTCATGAATTCTAACTAGGTTGTATTGCCAAGTTTTGCTCCTCTCGCCGCAGTGTCACTGGCTAGAGAGCGAGGACATAGAGTTTAACTTCTCATTTATGGCACCAATCCATGCATGAGCAAAATGGATACTGCCATCGGTTTGAAGTACAGCCCTGCAAACAACATCCACCCGGACGGCCAATCTATCTGCCGCGGAGGCCGGTGGGCGGGGTTTGTGGAAGCCGAGGGAAGGACGGGATCGGTGGGAGGAGACCTGGGAGTGCGGAGTTGAGCCTGCGGCTAAGAGTGACAGAGACAGGGAACCCAAGCCATTGCCGATGGGGGAATATACTCCCTTTCCTTCCTCAAGGGGCACGGGGGGCGGGGCGGAGGTACCTAGTTTCTGCCCCAGGTAGGTGAGGCTGTGATAGACCTTCTCTGCCGCGGCCAGGTGGGCCAAGGCCGCCAGCAGCGACAGCCAGCTGCCCCCCGCGCTCTTGTTGGCCTCTCGTTCCTTCTCCACATTGTCCTTGGCCTTGTCGTAAGAGAAGATACCCAGGTGAGAGAAGAACGTCTCCAGCACCGCCTGTTCCACCGGGACCGGGGCTGCCAGCGGGATAGACTCCCCCATGCGAGCTGCGCTCCAGCTCCACCCACGTGGCTCGCCTCTCCCTCGCACTTCCGGGTTCTCAGGGAACGGGCGCACGAGCGTGCGTGCGCGTGACCGCCGCAAGCGGCGGGCTCGTGAGCGCGCGGCCGTCTGGACCGCGCCTGGGCCTTAGAGAGGGCGCTGTTAAGGGTCAAGGCGGGAGAGGGATGGCCGCTCCTTAGCTCCTGAGCGACTCCGGCGCTTCGGTTCCCGCAGCTCTGACTATTCGGACCCTCAGGGCAGAGCGCGAGGCGGCCAGCTCGCTGCTCCGTGGAGCTGACGGCGTTCTGAGGTGAGCTGAGAGGCCCCTCCCTGTTAGACTGCGTCAGTGCTGGTGACGTCACGTTTCCGTGACGTCAGTAGTTCTTGGCCTGACATCTGGCCGGGGCTCGGCTGGGGCCTGAGGCGCGCGGCGAGGGGAGCCTTGGGCCTGGAACTGTGCTGGCTCTCACAACAAGGAGTCTGTAGTCCTCATTGCTTTTAAACCAACTCCAGTAAGTGGTTTATAGAGTAGAAGCCTCAGGTGGGTAAAGGTTTATCTCTCACCCCCATGTCTGATTTTTACCCGTGGTGGGTTAATTCACGCCTCCGTCAGGTTCTAGTCATCTCAGGTTCGTGCTAACGAAAGGGCTTCCGACCAGAGCTGCTCCTAGGCTTGGCCGTACTACCCACACTATATTAGGCTTCCTTAAAAAGTTCTCAGAATGAAGGCTACGTTAATGCAACTTCTGCTAAAGAATCTGAATTGATGTACTTTGTCATTCAGATTAATTACAAATCCTCAAACATTTGAGAAACACCATAAACCCAGCTCATAGGTATGTCCACTGCTTGAAACACTACCACCCCACTGCTTGCTTAGTTTTTACCTTTCTCTTTGTTATTTTTATTTTATACACTTTAGTCATCGTGTATTTAAACACGTATATTTTCATCTGTCTTTCCCCTACTAAGTGAACTCCCTAAAGCACAATCTAGGTTTCATTCACCTTTATAATTTTTCATCATGGATGGCACAATGATTTTTGTTAGACAAATGAGGGAATTGCCTGTTTTCATTTTTTTGTCAAACAAGATCAGTTCTGCCATCGTTACCTTTTAATGCAAATCCCATAATTTGATTTTAATGGATATATAGTAGACCTGTTGCTTGCTCTCAAGAATGTAATTGGGTAAGATCAACTTTGTTAACTGTGAAATTTTATATGTAAAGGTGAAATTTTATATGTTATAAAGGTGAAAAAGGAGGCGGCAATGGTATCTTTTTGGGAGAATCAGGGAGGCTTCCTGGAAGGGAATGTGGTGGTCCTTAGTGAATGAGTAGATGTAAGTAATCAAAAAAGTGCAGTACTAGCACCAAAACCGACAGACAGTGAAAGAGGATTATAAAGACTGTAAACATACTCAAGTAATATAAGAATTCCTTAGATAGTAAAGGTGGTATCATAAATCAGTGGGGAAAGAAAAACTAATTCAATTTATAAGTGAAGGAGACATGATTATGGGGGAAAAAAGACTTTTGCCCTTGATCCTGCAACAAAAAATAATTACATGTGTAAAAAACAAAACATAGGGCTTCCCTGGTGGCGCAGTGGTTGAGAGTCCGCCTACCGATGCAGGGGACACGGGTTCGTGCCCCGGTCCGGGAAGATCCCACATGCCGCGGAGCGGCTGGGCCCGTGAGCCATGGCCGCTGAGCCTGCGCGTCCGGAGCCTGTGCTCCGCAACGGGAGAGGCCACAACAGTGAGCGGCCCGCGTACCGCAAAAACAAAACAAAACAAAACATAAAACTGACACAGCCATGTAAAGCAACTATACTCCACTTTAAAAAAAAGAGAATAGAAAAGAAAACAAAAGTCTAACTAAATTACCGTGTAAACTCAAGGACAAAAACAAAAAGCCATAAACAAACTAGAAAGAAATACAAGTGAAAATTTAATTGATCTAGAAATAGAGAAGAACCTAATTACAAAAGAATTGGAAGAAATTACAAAGGAAGAGATTGGCTTGACTGTAAAAATTTCAAAAAAATGCAATACCAACCTGGGGGGAAAATATTTGTAATGTATGTCAGATAAAGGTTTGATGTGCTTAACATGTCAAGACCTAGTAATCATAGAAATGCAGATTAAACTATTGTATTTTTCACCTATCAGATTAAAAAAAAATTTTTTTTAAGTGCTGGTAAACATACAGTGACTCTGTTCTTATACACTGCAGATGGGCATGTAATTTGGTATGACCTCCCTGGAAAACATTTGGCCATGTATATTAAGGTTAAATGAGAGTATATGCACAGTGTCTAAAGTAGATGCTTAATAAATATTAGTAATACTTATTATTGTTACTGTTATTGTTATTTTTATCATTAGCATCATCATACCTTTTAATCAGCAGAGCACCTAGAGTAATACCTTGAATTTATCATCTTTAATAATAGCCAGTTATTTTACCAGCAAAACAAGTTTATTTGGGAATAGCCAGAGGAATTGCAATTCAGGTTATGGGAACTGTGGTGGACCACAGGCAAATCCAGAGAACATGGAAGGGGAGCTTGCTTTTATAGGGAAAAGGGGGGCCTTGGTAGGGGCTCTCATAACTAAAGAGTTCACCAGAGGAAGCTGGCAGTCCGAAGTATAGAGGCTTCTCATTGGCTGGAGTGCTACAGTCTCTGATTGGCTGGGCTGTGGTTGGCCAGAAAGATGGTTTTCTTCTTCCTTCTGGATAGTAAAGTAGGCAGTACCTTCCTGTGGGAGAGATGTAGGGGTATGTCTCTTCCAATTTGGAGTAATTGATGATGCACAGCTGTGAGAGCTCTCCCTACAGGTGTGTCCTGACTCCAATTTTAGCTGATGTTCTTTAATTCCACAGACTTGATGTTTGTTAAATATTTGATTGGCTGATTCTCCTTGTCTCATAGGAATTTTATAGGAAAAAGATACTGAGTTCATTACATGATAAGCTGTTAAAAAGTTGATCTTACAAAGATAGAAGTTACCTTAAATGGTCATCTGGTTCAAAAAAAAAAACGGTTCAGCCCATTATCAGGACATTTTGGAAAGTAGCAATAAATGTTTGCCATTGATGATATGTTGGCTGCATATCAAATAACCCCAAAACTTAGTGACTTAAAACAATAAAAGTCATATATTCCCTCTCACAATTTCTGTGAGTCAGGAATTCAAGAGTGGCTCAACTGGGCATTTCTGTTTCAGTGTTTCATAAGGTTGCAGTCAGATGTTGGCTAGGGCTGTGGTCATCTGAAGACTTGTTTGAAGCTGGAGAGTCTACTTTCAAGGTGGCTCTCTTACATGTCCAGTGGATTGGCACAGGCTGTTGGCCACATGGGCCTCTCCATGGGATGGCTTGAGTGTCCTCCTCACAGCATGGCTACTGGCTTATCATGGAGCACGTGATCAATCTGATCGACCGGAGCGGAAGCTGCAGGGCTTTTTACAACATAGCCTTGGAAGTCACACATCACCTCAGCCATATTCAGGACCATCCTTGATTGACTTAGGAAGTAAGGCTCAATGGAGGCTACCCTGGAAGCTAACTACCACAGAAGATGATGACATTTCCAGCATGGAGTATTATCTGTCTTCTTAAAAATATCTAAGGATGGAAGCTCTTAACTGCTCCATTAGTAATATCGCTCAAGAAGTTGTTTCTTAATATCAGCCCTAATCCCTCCTGTTAAGTCTAGAAAAGACCGCTGATTTGATACTGCTCTTTACAGAGTCTTTGAAAATATCCCTAGTGACAATGCCAGTGACAAAACCATTTTAGTGATAACAACCCATTTGGGAGGCAAAATGATATTAAAAACAGGCAAGACATTTATTCATTCATTTATTCAAGCATCCATTTTTTTCATTCATTTGATAAACAGTTGACTAACTTTTGTGTGGTTGAAATACACATAAAACAGAATATACCAAAAATGATTTTACAATTTGATGATTATTCCAGTTAATTCCTACCCCAGTTTTTAAGTATTTGGGCTTACTTCCTTTTTGGTGATCTGTTTTCTTCACATTATACTAACATCATAATAAAACTGTCATTGATTTAGCACTTACTATATGCCAGGTGCTTTACATATCACTGATCTTTCAACGCATCTTCAAGGCAGGTGTAGCTATCACCATTTGATTATGGAGAAGTTAAGTAATTTGTTCAAAGTACGCACAGCCAGTAACTTGCAGGGTGAGATGCAAACCAAAGTTCTGTGTCTCTTTTCTCCACAAACTTGGCTGCTGTTAGTGAGTTATCCCCATATACATATGTCTCCTACCATATACATATGCCTCCCATCTAAGAGGTAAGAGACTTCCACATTGTTATTTAGGCATTTTCAAATTGTTTCTGCAGTGATCTCCCTTTTTATATGGACAGTATGGTTGAAAAGTATGATTTTGGTGAGAAGTCTCTTTTAGCTTATGAAGAGGAGCCAGATATATGATATGGAACAACCTCTTTCATTTTCTCTTTGGATTATTTACTAAAAGATACCATGCAGTTAGCAATACCTTATGTAGCTCTTTAGCACCTTTCAACTAAATTACTTTCCCTGTTGTATATTTTAAAAGTCTGACCACCACCACCAACAACCCTTTTTTGTACACTTAACTTCGCATTTTGTTTTTCTACACATGTAAATAAAATGTGATTTTGAAATCACAAGTAGGAGATTATACAGGGTAGTGAGTTGAGGAACAAATCCAAACTTAGAGAAAGAATATTTTAGATCTATTCTCTACATAACCATTGCCTAATATTGGTATAGAGCTGTGTTGTCCAATATGGTAGCCACTAGCAACATGTGGCTATTTACATTTGAATGAATTGGAACTAAATAAAATTTAAAACTTGGCTTTTCATTTGCTCTACTACATTTCCAGTGCCTAGCGGCCACCTGTGCCTAATGGCTACCATATTGGGCAGCACAGACACTGACCGTGCGGCATATGGAATCTTAGTTCCCTGACCAGGGATCGAACCCATGCCCCCTGCATTGGGAGCATGGGATGT